TTTTTTTTTTTTTCATATTAGGAGCGAACATGCACACTTGATTTTGTCAATTCAGCTGATACCAACGGTATAAAGCAAATTGAATATGCAATGCACTGCAAAAATATATAGCGTGAAAAACTACTTAATTTTGCACGACAGTTTGTTCGATCCAAATGGAAGCTTATCTGATAACGTTACCGATGGATAACCCTTCTCAAAATCGAGTTTTTACAATTTGTCGACGACTTTTGTCACTTGAAACAATAACTTTATCAAAACATAAGGAAAAAGTTCTTATCAAAGAATGATGTCAATATCTCATATGATAAAAACATACTGTTGATTTTGCTAATTCAGCCGATACCAACGACATAAAGCAAATGTTCGTTCCTGATATAAAAATAAAAAGAACCAATATTCCTAAATCACCATCTCTTGGGATGCATATTTTGGAAAACAAAAAAGTTTATCATATGGAATGTTGACTTCCCCATTTTAATTTTCAAACATCCCAAATGGAAAAAGCAAAATTGTGTCGCAGAAAACAGAGAAGTTTGGTAAGAGTAATGCACAAAAGAGTACAAAAAAAGAAAAGAGGAAAAAAGATATGTAGAGCGGTTTCGTAAAGTGACGAAAACGATCATGTGACAATGATGGCAGTGATTCTTCCGCTTTTCCTTGTATTCCTCTTCCTTCATCTTTCTTCCCGTCTCCATTTCCACAAAAACAGAGTATGATGAGCAGGTTGTTAATTTTCTCCTTCCGCCGAATAGTTTTCGGGAAATTTTGTGTAATAAAAAGTAGCATTAAAGTACGCCGTGAGGAAACTTCACTCCCAAAAACATACATTAAAATGGATACTTCTACACTCTTGAAGTAATTTCGGTGTTTATATCCTTGGCTAATATCTCAGTTAGGAATCTGGAATATGTGTTCTGCTAAGTGCGATCGCAACAATACTCTTCAATTTTAAACATATTTCAACGTCACTGTTGTTTTAGTTGTACCATTAAACCTTATTAATAGCTCAGGTTTCATCAAATCAACTATTGCAACGTAAGCATGCATGCCACATATTCCGATGTGGTCGCAAAGCTTTGCAAAATGTGCATGGTTAGTTTTATTACCCGTACATAAGGGACATTAACTTTCCAAGTCCGAGATTCAGCTTCGAAAGGAAATAAAGCATTTGTTTGGCTGTGGCAATCCTGAAAACAAGGAATAAGAATTCAAAATTCAAATTAAATTGGATGAATGCGAAAAGCCATGTTGTGGATTTAAAGATCACTAGTCCACCGTTATAAAAATGTTACATTTTGAATTGCGATGGTGGCGCAGCATATATCAACAGTCAGCTGTAGGGTTGAGCTGATAAGAGGTGTGTGTGCAATCACTGTCACCACGACGGCGTGGGGTGTGTACAGAAAGTATGCAGAAAAGTCAGTGTCAAGGATTCTAATGAATGAAAAAGTAGAAACGCTGTGCGGAGAGTTACTGATGATTGGAAGATAAATGAAGGGAAAATGGAACTGACAGCGGAAGCAGGTCAGTCCACATTCGCATTCCTATCAATCGGATTGATTCATGTCGTGGAACGAAAAAGGCAAGAGGAAGGGATGTATGGAGAGGCGGGAGTATAAGAAGGATGGACTTTAAATTGCGGTTATTTTTCGACTAGGAATTGTGTAGTTTTGTCTTGCCAAGATGAGAATAGCAAAAGGGTTGTCCGTCTGGTCATTTCAAATGAAAGGAAATTATCATCAAAGACAGTTGAATGGCAGATGATCGATCATCTGGCATTCAATATATGTTGGTATCGGGTAGATGACAGCTGCAGTGATAATAATGATAATAAGTCACAACTTACCGTAGTGGTGAGGATAACAAAGATAAATAGCGATGATAAGGATGATGACCACGATAATGATAGTTCGACGGTATGATCATGATCGCAATTCGATGCACGAAATAACTGATTGTAAATTGTACATATTTTTTCGAACTTTTGCAGTTCTCTTTTCTTCCTCGAAAATAGTGAAAATAAGATCATATTAGGTTGGCCTTTATTTCTGAAACATGTATAATCGGATTTGGTGGTAGAAATTATATAAAATTTTTACGGAAACTTCACCGAGTTGGTCTATATGTAACAGAATTTGTGGCGTACCGACTAAAATAATGATAAGGTATGGATTTTGCAGATGACTTCTGGTGTTCTTTTGTAGATTCGCATTGATCATGTCATATTTTTCATCATCGATCACTGCTTTTAATGTCGCAAACGCAGAATAATTCTTCTCGACAGCCTTCCAGTCCCCGCGAAGTGAATAATTCCTTTTTAATAGTGTTGTCGGAGTCTAAGAAGCGAATGGACACCGGCAACTTGCCAGAATTAGAGACGTCTCTCGATTCATCATGCGCGAATTTTTAATTTTCGAAACAAATTACTCCTCAGTGTCATTTGAAATTATCAATTCGAGCTTTTACCATTCTGTTCGACAAAGGTACTTCTTTTATTTTCTGTTTAGCTTCCATCTCTAAAACTTCTTCGACAACTTTTATCAGACAAGGTTTCATTTCCCTATCAATTTTGATATCTCAAATGACGCAAATCAAATCCTGTCCCACTAGGCTCGAGTTCCATCCTTTTCAGATTCCTTAATTTTCATTCCAAGGAATTCAGATGGTCGATTAGATAAATTAAAATAGAACGTTTCTAAGTGACCTTTCCATTTTGATGGCTTCAAAGCATCCTTTCTGAGAAAGGTGGCGCATATAACGAACTGAGATTTTATTTGTCCATTACTTAGAGACGTCTCTCGATTCATCATGCGCGAATTTTTAATTTTCGAAACAAATTACTCCTCAGTGTCATTTGAAATTATCAATTCGAGCTTTTACCATTCTGTTCGACAAAGGTACTTCTTTTATTTTCTGTTTAGCTTCCATCTCTAAAACTTCTTCGACAGATCCTACAGTAAAAATTTGCACAGTAAAACCTACAGTAAATTGTTATCCTACAGTAAAAATTTGTGATGTTTTAAAAGTATTGATTTATTGCACTAATAGACCGAAAATAGGACTTTGCGATCAAGTCCAGATACAATTTTGGATTAATGATAACTGAATGGATAGCAAACTATGGCTGTTGATCGTGGAATAATTCACTTCCATTTTGTTAATTATTTTTTTCTCCACTTTAATAACTCAAGCACTTGTCTTTTCTCTGCATGGTGATATATTGTCCATACAGATAGATATACATCAAGGGGAAAACAAATTTATGATGGAATTATTATGTGACTAATTAAGCTTAATAAGTAACTGCAATCTTCAGTCCCGTTTTTCCCATGAAATTTCAAATATTCCTTTCTGCAATGTTGTTCAACTACTGGGTAATCTTGATAATAAGATTAAGAACCTCTGGTTTGCCATTTCACTCTTACTAAGTTTGTTACAGTCGCGTAGACCTATCAGCAAATATCGATAATTTATGTGCTTATCATTTTGACAACTTTTTCAATCCTACCATAAATATCTCCTCTATGCTACTTTCAACTTCTTATCATTAATTGCTGACGACAATGATTGCCCATTAACCAAACATCAGCATTTCACGATACTGACAGACCTATTCCAGGTGAAATAAATATTTCAATAATTTTTACTGGAAACTAGTATCAACCAACATGTATTGCTCCTCAGCAGTAACCCAACCTTGCAAGACATTCCAAAGATTCGATATTCTCTCAACATGAGAGTGTTGACCTTAAGTGAATTTAACCTGCACTGCCCCATTAATGGTATGCATTGGTAGTTTAAATTTTTAAATCACTCCACCCATCACTATGTTTGCATCATTTTTAACCTTTAAACCTATATTTTTCTAGCAAAAAGAAATACCGAATTCTTTTCACTTGAAATCGGAAGCAGCTGTTTCAACAAGTTTGAAAATAAAGACTGAATCAGCAATCAATATAACAAACGACTTTAAAATCTTTGGACACAATTTGCTGACTATTCACTATTTTTGGGTTCGGAAAATCTTATACATAAGTGATTGTTCTTTATATATGTATCCTTAAGACTTCTTTTTACTTTATCGGAAGTATATGATGGAGAAGATCATCACGTTTTATCAAAAGAAAAGACGCTGAAATAAACAGAAAGTGTTTCATTTTGTTTGATCCCTCATCGAAGCTTTCAGTTTGCGATGATTCTTAATTTTTTTTTTTTTTTATCTTTGGAGAGCTTCTAAATATGCGAAATAAAAAAAAACTTTCAATATAAGTCGAAGCTAAAAATGATATTTATTGGTTCAACCAGAGTGTATCCCAAGGATTTCAAATCTTTTAAATTGCTTATAAAGATCTTTTTAGTGAGATTTTTAGGAAATTGAAACCGAGGTCGGTTATATTCTTTCGTCTTTATCTCTTTATTCTAGGGTTGAAATTAAACAAGGTTTTGCATAACTTGTCTCGGATACAAGAAATTTATTCCGTTGAACCCATGATAAGCTTATGGATTTCGAATTTTGATGACCATGGAAATCAATTCTTAGATTACTAATTGAATTTTTATGTGGTCACAAATGTTAAAGCTTCGGTAACGAGAACACCTTTGGACATTCCTTTCAGCGATATAACAAACTGTTTTTATTTTGCAGGCATTACATGATTCTTCTGATGAATATGCCAAAAAATAACAAATATGAAATCAGCAATAGAAACAGTTTCAATCTTACAATGCGGAGCAATAACTGATATTAACAGTAATATCAGTGTTTTTTAGTGTTTTTAGAGCTCTTGCCAACACCTTCTTACCACTGTCCATATTTGCAGCAATATGTCAGGAATTTAAATAGCACATTGCTTCCAACTACCATGAAACTTCGTCTTGCAGTTTTCGTAAGCCGCGATGCGATCTCGGTTACTTACATTCCATTATATTCCTACCTCGACATATTCCACACCTTATTCCGTTTGACGAATTTCTTATCTGTTCCTTATCATATCTAGAAATCTTGTCGATCTCAACCCCCTCACCATTTCACCACCTATCTTTTCCTTTTTTATTTAATGCAGCAAAATCGACTCTGTTATCGATCTCAACAGTAACCTCACTTTACCGAATTAAAGCCATATTTCCTTAAACGAAAATGCAAACGTTGACATCTCTTGATGTTTCTCGAAATACAATGCACCTTACCGCATTAACAGTATGCTTCCGGAATGATTTTCGCACACTGTGACATTACGATAATTGGTTTTACACTTATAAAAAAAAAAAGAAAAAAGAAAAAAGAACACTCCTAGGTGTTAGCTTCGCATATACTGCAAATTTGCAAAACATCACGCTTTACATGAAAAGGTGATGAAGGAGATATGGGTGTAATAAATGGCTATCTCCACACAACTGCTTTGGTGAGATTTATCGTGAATGACAGTACAAGTACTAACACTCTTAGTAAATCCAAATAGACAAGCAACAAGGTAAAATCATTCCTTGCAGACTTTTTTGACATTGTTTCGCTCTACATTATTTCAATTGTACAAAGAATTTAAACAAATAATTTTTCCTTCCATCCATAATTCCTTGGAAGTGGCAGTGACTCTCAGCATTCGATTTTCTGAAATTTGGCACGGAGAACATCACTTTTATTTAATATTCCTTGTAAAACGTTTGATTTCAGGATATCAGAACAAATTCACATATTGTGTCTATGTGAATACGGTTAAAAAAAAAGCATGTTTGACCAATTTTTCACTATCCAGGACGGTGAAATAGAACACTTATTCCACGAAAAACGATTGAATGACAATAATTATGTAACATTTAACAATTTAAACTGTGAAGATAATTAGAGCACCTTTTCGCATGCTGCCATCGAAATATTAAAATGCTTTTACCGAACGTTGAATATTTATTGACCAAATTAAGAATATCATAGATACAGGCTTGATATTGCCTCATATATGGAGAATAATTATGACATTGAATTTTATACTTATTTGTATAATAAAATGCTGCTACACAGTTCACTTCCAACTAAAATTTTCTTATCAAAGAAAATCTTTTCACGTGATAATATTAAAAGAACGTGATGCAGCAGCTTGATTATGAATATATTACTCGTACAACCATGTCACTCATACGGGACTGGATAGGAAAGCACAACATTCCTCTTCCAAGTGTTGTGAATCATCTGTTTTGTTAAGCTCGTAAGAAAGACAATTTTTCTGATTAGTTCTGATACTCAAGTACTAATTTACAGAAGTATGCTGTACATGAGGTAAGGTGAAGTTGAAAGGAGGTCTTATGAATCCGAACGTTCTCATGCTTTAAAATGCCCAAATCACCGTGTAATAAATGAGCCCACTGATCCATTGCTGACACATTCCTACCCATCTTAAATAATTGTGCTCACTCCACTCTTCGGTTTTGCCTTCGCTTTTCCCATGAATTTTTTTATCGATGTTAGCGATCTTTGCCCAAAAAGTTGTGTATCCCAGCAAAACACTATCCACGTCCAATCACAACTCCTATGTTTATTATTTAATGCACCAAACACTTCGAATTAAAAATGATTCCGGTATCGAAGCCTTAAAGTAAACGAAACAGTCCGACTGCTACTACCTTTCTTGGCTTGACATAAAAATTCCTTAAATATTTACTAAGAGTAGGGAGGGAAATGGGAGATGAAGCATTTTTCCATAGTGCTACCAGATTTTTCAGAAAATCTAAATGCCACGTTGTCTATATGCCCCGAAAAATCATATACTGAAACGCACAAGAACATACACCGACGTGATCGACTGTATTTATTGATCTTCAAAATTTCTGTAGTTTTTGCAAAAATGTATACATCCAGTTAGTCCAAAAATTGAAGAAGTTCTATCAAAGAATGTGAAAATGAGGAAGGTATATGACCAACTCTACCGCAAACACATACACACACATATACACACACACATACACACACACATACACACACACAACACACACACACACACACATACACACACACAACACACACACACACACAAATATATACATACATACAAACATATGCAATATCTCTTCTGAAAGAAAATTTTCCATCCCCTGCATTTATTGGTTTTACCCTTTCTTGGGTAGGAGTGGAGGATGGCGATTCTGAATCTGCATTTTAGTTAAGACTGATTAATCAAATTTTGGATTAATTAGCACACGAGGTAAGAAGGGAAATTTCTGGGTTCTCCTTTTTTTCCGCGAACCTTTCAGGTAAACAGGAAGACTTCTCATTTTACTATCCATTTTGCCGAAATGTTTTGAATTTCAAATGGCGATAACAGGAAGAACAAAATACACACTTCCTTCATGAAGGTCCAAAATTTCGATGAGTTCAATTGTTCGACAGCACAAATCAGTTCGCTTATATTTGATTCGGTTGTTCCCTGCTCGAATGATATTGGGGTCATCGGTCACTGCCCAAACAGTTCAACAATGTATAAAACACTCGGTATGTATGTATGATTGTGGGAGTGTCAGTATTGTGTCGAATTGATGTTGGTGTTGCAGCTGGTGTTGGTGCTGATGTTGGTGCTGGTGCTGGTGTTGATGTTGGTACTGGTGCTGTCTGTGCGTATTCGATTGGTTGCGAGACGTTCACCACTGTTGTGCTAGTACAACAGTGGTGAACTGATAGTTCAAAACTTTGTCATAACGAGTGCCGTGCATTGCATTTTAGTCTTTCTCCCGTCTCTCCCAATTTTTAAATTTTAATTCCTACTTATAAATCAGTTTTTTCGGATTCTTTTATGCAATTAGCTGAGAAAGACGGACAAACTTTCTTGAATAGTAATAAACTAATGTCAGTCGAAGTTGAAATGTTAAAAAAAAAACTGTGACAAAAGGTTGCGCCTATTTCCTTCTGGAGTTCCGGAACTGGTATGAATGTAGGGCTTAGTTCCGGAGAAACCAGAATATCTTTAGGCTTGAATGTTGTGTTAAGTCAATTAACAAGCTTTTAAAAGGAGTTCTTTTGTGTCTAAATAACGTAAGAGGCTGTATAGAAATTAGACACTACTACTCGTGAAATTTCTCAAGCACTTGGAACTGATCAAAATACTACTGCAATTTCTAAGTATGAAATTGCAATGTTCAAGTTCAAAACGAGTTTCTTTTCCGCGAGTTTAATCTAACCAATCATTTTATTAATTTCCACTTCTTAAAATACATCGTACATATTTCGATGCCACTTGATTATTTTTGGAATGAGTTTTAATAAGTTTGCTAAGAAATTGAGTTTACTTGAATGTTCAAAACTGGTATTTTTTTTGCATGCTTCTGCAGATATCTTTCGTCGCCTTTAGATTTTGATTCATCCATGAATGTTTCAATATTTTGTAATTTATCGTGCTTTTTACTTCAGTTGATCTGTGTATGCAAGTTGTCGATCAGTTTCAAACATCGCCTTTAACAGGAAACATCACCCTTATCATAACATCACGACTTTTTTTCTGTTTGATTCTTTTCCAGCTGAGTCCTTTAACGAAATTCTATCCGACACGAATAGAATTGAAAACTTTGGATTTCTTTACGCACGATCTGGAAAAAAGTGAACTGAAAAAACACAGTGTTACGCTGCAGTAGCCCGAAATGTAATCATTTTAGAATGTAATGAACGGATAGTAATATGATAGGAGGGTATGGTGATTTGGATTCAGATTCTTTACCAATGATAATCTATGTTTTTTGCGTCTTAAAATCATAACATTTCGTGTTTCAGGGCTGCTCTTGTGTAACATGTGTTTTTTTTTATTGAATTGTCGCCGACAAAGTATGTCATGTCTAAAATACAAGCATTTAGAGAAAGAATCGATGTAAGCGGAAAATAGGCTGAAAGAAGTCGCTTTATATCAATGAATTTTTCATGAATGCATATTCCCTGGGCGTATCTAATAAAATTAATAATTTTAACCTGTGACCTTTCCTTTCATTTTGCTCTTGATGTAATCTACTCTAATTACAAAGATAATGCATACACTGTTGTTAGTGGCGCATTCGTAATCAGCACTAATAAATCGAATCAGGCTTCACGGATACGTTACCCAAGTAGCAGTACAATATATGGTATTACAATATACCAGAAGCTTCTTGCAACTGCTTTGGATAATATTATTGTAGTATACAATATTTCATCCTCTGTAAGGATCGAGGATGTGTACCGTTTACAACTACCGAAGTCAATCCGAAAAAAATTATTGGAATTTAAATTTATTGATCATGAAATGTTACTTTATTGCGACACATTAACGTGCAGGTTCATTGGTTCCTAACATAAAACATATTGAAATTCTTATTTTACATATTTCAGTTCTCCATCATCTCTTTATCATTTATTTCCCGAAATCTGAAATTTGAAGCAACTAACGAAATCATAAGTTATTTAAACTGAAAAAAATTCAAACAATTTCGAAAAGGCGTCAAGTGAACATGTTTTAGATTATGCGTATTGACTTTCCCAGAGAAATCATGTACGGAATATCTGCTAGCATTGAATGGAAAAAAGATTGAAGAATTGATGTATGCAACAGTAGTGAAGGATTCTAACCAGAATGTTAACATACGGGTCGTAACTAAGAATGCTAGCGAGGCTACCATCCTGAGATTCCCTTCATATCATGCATCCAGCAAGTGAATCATTTTTTATCAAATCTTATAATACACCAGAATGGAATAACGGTGCAAATGTACAAAATTGAAACATGAAACTTCTCTAGAGAGGACTGAAAGATTTCTCCTATATAATCCTTAACAATTATTAACAATGATTTTTTCTGCAGTGCATCAGTACAATCAGCAGAGGATATACGAATCATTGACAAGCATGGTTTAGCAACTGCATTCAATCGGCGTGGTTACACTTACTTTGTGGGATCAGCACGACGGCCCTATGAACCATACATCAATGCCAAGATCGAAGAAATGATTGTGATGTCGGTTCGAATAACTCGAATATGCGACAAGGATCGTACAGAAAAGCTGGAATCTCGCATTGATATGGCACTTACCTGTGGAAATTTTAGTAAATTTACTCAGTTGTCACTTAAATCGATAGTTCATCTTAATGATTATTAAAATCAACTTTTGTCGTTTTGAGGTTCAGTACTAATGAACTCCCTTATGCATCGAAAACTCCACTTTCACAGTTTTCTTTTTTCAGTCTTTAAAATTCTCCCCGTGATTATTTAATATAACTGAAACCCAAATCGTTGTTTCTTATTTATCCGTTCAGATTCTTTTCCTTTTTTTTTTTATTTCTGTGCGTTTTCAATTACAAAATCGAATTTGAACAATGTTCTAGGTTTGCGGACAAATGTGTTTTCACTGGCAGCTGAGTACGATCCAAAGAGTGATGAGTTGATTGTTGTGTTCCAAACATCTGCAAAAAATGAAAATGTTGCATGTAAATATACTATGGATCTTGTTAATAATGCGTTCAATCAAATATGGATTAATTGTCAGAACATTTCCTATAAGTCATCATTCAAGGCAAGTTGGTTTTTTTACTTTTGAAACATAATTTAGCCCTACTTTCATTTCTCTGATGATAATTTTTTGAATGAGCCTTTATCATAATTTTTCGATCGAGCAGTTGTTTATGTCCCAAAAATTTTCACATTTCCACTACAGCCATGTAACTGCACACCGGTTCATTTAACGTGGGTTCGAGAAACCCGTGGAAAGTTAGTGTTCAGAGACAAGAAATCTTGGTTATTCCTTAACCTTAGACTAACAGAATTTCAGGAGTGTCAAAAGGTTAAAAATTCCGAACAATTGCCTCCACATTGCTTTGTATTTTCACGACGTGCTGATGGACATGCTATGCGAACCTGTTTGAGATTTGGTGGTGTGAGTCTATTCACTTTTAAAATTTCATAAATTTTATTTTCTTTCAAGATTCAACAATAGTTTTTTAGATAATTTCGAAAAAAAGTACTGAAATTTTTTTTTTCATTTCTCGGATTTTGTTGAATATGAAAAGAACAGTTGTAAAAGTTATGCTATGCATTGAGCATATAGCATCTTACATTTATATTGCAGAACTATGTAGAGGAACCGTTAAATAATTGTGATTTGGAATTGTTTCCATCATTTGCATATCGTTACGGATGGTTAGAACAGTTCCATGCATTTTCAGGACAACTCGTAGCGGTGTAAGCTATCAGTGAAAATTTCTTTTTTCTCCTCCTTAGGGTTTCTGTTTTGAATCCATATGAAATTCAGTTGTGATGTCTACTTAGAGAACAGGAGAGATCACAGCAAGCAAAACTGGCAAAAAAGCTTGATTTATATTGCTGAATGACAAAAAGGAGAGGGGGCTAAGTTAGCATAAATTAAAAAATCGACTTAGTAATACAGAAAAGATTCTGATCGTTTTGGTACCACTCACCGCAAATGGGATAAGCAGGAAACAGGTCCAAATCTTTGTTTTACTGATATCTATATATGAAGTTTCGTTGAGTAAATATGTAAATGTCTATAGTATGATCATAATGAAAGCTTTGAGCATTATCCAAAAGAGCTGGGAACTTTAAACATTGTTTAATTTTTTCTCGTTCGATATTCTTAGAAAGAACGGTAAATAATATCTCAATTTCTGTTCTCGGTGGAAGCGATCCGAAAAAATATCTCGAAACAATGAAAATTAATAGCATAACTTCATTCTTTTCGAGCTTGCCTCATTGTTCACAATATCTTGTAATAATGGTTGACATCTTATAGTTTACCGGGTTCTGGTGAAGATATCCTGTCTGTGAAACGTTTTTATGAAGATGACGCATTATTCAGTGTCCGTTCTGACGGTATTTTAAATCGGGTATTTTAATTTATTTTGAAGCGATCAACTGATGTTAATAGACGATGTTTTTCCTTTTTGAGAAGAATGAAATGTTTTAGTTTTTTTTTTTTGAATTCTGTATAAATTTAGGTGTCAGATCAAACAGATCAAGTGGCATCTTCACTCCTGTGGTCACTTCAATTGCAGCAGACTCAATTCACAGAAAAATCTCATACTCCTAAGTACCGCATTGCTGCGGATTTGTCGCGCAGTCGGATTTATTTTGTTCAAGATAATGAAGTTCGTGACTTTTTTTTAGATCTGGTATTCTAGTTCATAAAAGACTTTTTTGAATGGGTGAATGATATGTTTTTTCAAATTTGATTTTTAAATTTAAGAAATTAACACGGAGATTTAAAATGAACTTATTCCAGTTCTCTGGGAATCGATTTCCTTTCCATTTTTAGCTAAGCTATGCGGAGTTGGCATGTTCCTATTTTTATGACAGCTGTGATTCGCTGGAACGGTCGAACTGGTCTGATCCGCTTCAGTGCCTTTGGTGTGCTATGAGTAATGGTTCTGGTTATGCATTTTCACGATCAAAGGGCAGGAGCTGTCCATTCTACACAGTTGATAATTTCTGTACTCCATTTATTGAGCATGTAAGTTATCACTATTCCTGTTATGAGCCGTGTACCTTGGTGTAAAATTTTCCTAATCTTGTTAAATTTGGGTAATAATTTATTCACTATTATTTTCTAAAGGAAAATTACTGCTATAGATTAAAAACTTCTCCAATGTTGCATGACCGCATTATAGCACGTTGCAACGCAACGTGAAATTGTTGGATTTAATCAAAAATTTAATCAAAAGGAAGAGAAAAAAGAATACTTTGAAAGGTGTTAAGTCGAGGCGTCTGATTTACTGGCAAAATTCATGTAATAGAGCGGATCTATCTCCTCACAGCACACAAATATTTGAGATAAACATTCCATCATCAAGTTTCTCCAACTATACCTCGCTTGAAGTATATGGTAGAAAACTCGATAGATTGCAAGATATCGTTGCCAAAATATGCGATCGGAACTGTGCTATATCAGATTTCGGATCAACAAAGTTAGTTCATATGAATAAAAATTATCAGACTGGCAAACTTCATGCTCTACCTATGCTTTTGCAAAGCAAAAGATTTTTTTTGTTTCCCAGATATATTCGACTATAACTTGAGTGGCCGGTGCCAAAAAATTGTTCTACCACGTTTTCTCGAAAGATTTGGCTATTTTATAAATAATGAAAAAAGGTAGTGGAATTTCAGTATGTTGACATTTTTTTTAGGCTATCTTGTGTTGTTAACATGCCAGTTAATGCTGTGGAAGACTGCGATTTTTATCTGGAAGGGAAGCTGCGATCGTTTGGCCGATTTAGCATCACTTCTGAATTGCCGAAAAAGCGGGATTCTCACACTAAAAACATCATTTTGGCAAGCACACACTCACATTCGAAGTAACTGATTATCACAACTGATTATCCAACTGAAATTTTCGTGAAACTTTGTACTTCGTTATTTTAGAAAAACTGTTGCTTGTTGCAAGTTTATTATATGTGCATGACGTTGCATATAAAAGGATGATGGTATTAGGTACCAAATGTTGTTGGCTACAATCAACACTTTTCTACTAAAATTGAAAATCGGCTATGTATAAGCTTACCATTTACATCGATTTTAAGACACAGCAGAGCAATTGTAACAATATTTGCGGTGATTGTGCTGGCATCCCTGATCGTGCTTATTTTATGCCTTCTTCGTCAATTCCATAAAGTTAGCCTTGAACTACTATAAGAAATGGAAAATTGTATTCATTCGAAAATTTCATTCTACATTATCTAGCTTGACATATGCAGGAATGTGCTTAACAATACTGCACGCATGAATTAATTGTTGTCGATTCTCTCCTTACAGCACCAACGGAAGCGAATGAAACATTGCCATACAAGTGGCTCACAAATAGCACTTGACACAAGTCATGCCACTTTCGGTTAGTTCATTTTTCTCTTTGAATTATTTGTTATGTATTGTTATCTACTTTGGTTTCTGTTGTTTATCTACTGGATTTCTTACATTCAAGTGCATATTAGTTATTTTTAGTGACCAATAATCCGTTTAGTGGACTCAAAAGAAAAGCTGACGAAATAAAAACATTTAATCCGTATGAGAATCTTTTTATGGAAATCGATTCGAAGTTGCAAATACCTCTGAAGGATCTGGAATTGGGTGATGAAATTGGGAAAGGTAGTATAATTTACTTAATGTCCTTTTATTAACGATTACCATTTATCGCCATTTGCTATGATATTTGAACTATTCTATATTACTATAATTAACGAATTGTTTTACAGGAAACTTCGGTGTTGTGTATCGGGCAGTATATCGAAGCGCCGATGGTCAACTAGTAGATGTAGCATGTAAAACAATCGATTCACAAAATGATGGTGTTATAACTGGCATCAGTGAATTTTTACAAGAAGGCTTAATTATGGCTAATTTTGATCATCCAAATGTTGCTCGACTAATTGGTATTTCCTCAACTAACAATAATTATCCCATCATTGTTACTGATTTCATGGCTCAAGGAGATTTACGACATTATATCATTAACCCGGAGAATGTACCTTTTACTTTACTTTCCCTATGGTTTAGCAAAGTTTTAAATCCTCGCAAAACAACTTTTATTAAATTACTTTTTCTCATAAACTGATATAACACAACCGACCATCCATTAAGATACCTTCTTGATTTTATTTTTCTAATGTTTCTAATATCTGTTTTTTCATACAACTCTCTTCTTCGGCCTTACCATTTTATTTTACTTACAGAGACTCACGTTTGGCAATCTTCTTGATTTTGGTATCCAAATTGCAAAAGGAATGACTTATTTGCATGATAAACAATTTATTCATCGAGATCTTGCTGCACGAAATTGCATGTTCGTCAAAAAATTCCTTGCACTTGAAATTTATAGGATAAATGTTTCTATGTTTGTTTGTTTGTGATCTATGTTTCGGCGTCATTCAATCTATCATAACTTAAAAAACGCAAAATTTTCGATTCATTTTACAACCATTGAAGGTTAGATGCGCACCTTGTTGTTAAAATTGCCGATTTTGGTTTGAGTCGAGACGTATCACGATGTGGAATGTATCAGGCTATCCATAAAGATCGTGGAATTCCCATTCGATGGATGCCTATTGAATCGCTTGAAGAACAACAGGTTTTCCTATTTGTTCAAAACGGATAGCTCAGCTTGTGAGAACATAAGCTAATCTCTCTTCATAATACACCATAAAAGTTTGGAACTTGCTGGTTTTCCATCATCAACATAACCAAAAATGCTCAGATTTTGTAAGGGACGATTCTGGTGACCCGTCCAGTTGATGATGATGATGATGTTATACCATTTGACAGATGAACTTTCAATCGCTAAAGTTATTTTTGACTCGTCTATGCTAAGCTTGCTCCACAGTTGTATGAATTTGTAGGATATCACATCGGATGATCTACTTTTCCTCATCGTTAAGTCTATCATAACTTGAAAAATGTAGCCAGACTTTCTATATATTTCTGTCACTGAAAGCTAGATGCGTAACTTGTTAAAATTGTCCATTTTGATTTTAGTCAAAATGTGTTGCGGTGTCCCTTTGGCTTTCTATTTAACTAAATCTCAATTCCAAGATGAAACCAAAATTTTCTTAGCAGAATAAATCGACAACCTCTTATAGTCAAAAAAGAACTGTTGTCTTGTACAGAAATGATTTTGATAGGATAATCAATCACTGAAATATATTGCAGTATACATTCAAAGCGGATGTTTGGGCATATGGAATTGTGCTATGGGAATTAGCTACACGTGGTTTGATTCCTTATGCAGACCTTGAATTTACCGATATCCTCCGTTTACTAAAGAGTGGGCATCGTTTGATGAAACCAAAAGGATGTCCGGATAACCTGTATTTTCATTTCAGTTTCCATTTCCAAATCATTTTTGTTAGCTATATATCTTTTAACAACTTCGGTAATGATCCACTTCAACTCACTGTAATTGTCAACAATTTCAATAGTCAGTAGTGATTTCCCACTATGCCAGCACAGCCAATTTTGATTACCCATGTGTATTCTCATTTTGTGTGTTAAAAAAGCACAGCGACACTAACGGAAATTTAAAAGTTTGGTTTAGTCATTTCTTGAAATAAATTGATTGCAAGTGTTCGAAAAAAAAAGATCGGTATATTTTTCAGATATCATCACGTCATGCGGCGATGCTGGATGGAAGATCCGAAACGTCGACCAACATTCTTCGAATTAACAGAAATGATGGAGGACGTTGTACGACAGTTACGACGTGGTGTATCAGGTGGTGCACTTCTGGATAGTCACTATGAACGTGTCTCCGCACGGTCATTCGCCGTACCACTCATCACCACCACTAATTCAAGTGCAAGTGATGGTACCATTATTACTAACTTATAAACGACTTCATTGAATTTCAAATTAAAATTCAAGTCAAATCAAATAATATTCTGATAAAATTCTACTTCGCTTTTTACAACCTACTTTCCTAATCGAAGGAGCAATCAATCAGTAACCAAACATCTTCCAATTAAAATTGAACTTCACAGACGTAAACTACACTGACACATCCTCTTGTATTAGTAGCCGGCTGTGCTTCACTTTTACCTCAATTTGTAAACTGTAGTGCCGCTACGCCTGTTCCACCACATCTTTATGTCGCTCTTGAGTACCTACTTGCAACGTGTATTTAAACAAAAACTATTTGTTAGCTCCTTATTTACTAACCAGTCACCACTTTTACACATAAAGTTCAACATACTTTCAAGTTCAGCAGATGTCTGATGTGCACAGCTCCTTGCAAGAATAATTATGCATGCTATCAGCAGTCTGTACAAAAACGCTGGAAATCAAGACAAAAGCAACAAACTTTGCAACAACCTTCAGGCTTAGAGAGAACGGACTATCACATCCCCGGACTATGCCTTAAAGTTCGAGGCAACGAACTTCCCATAGCAGATTTTAAATGTGATGGATAATAGTAAGTTCATTTGCGAAAAGTGAATTTTGCTGCCAAGCCTTTTATTCACAAAACAGTTCTAATATGAAAAGTATTCCGAGAACGACCTGATTAAATAAACAGATGTGATATTTGGAAATTAATTACACAACAAAATTCAGTGAGTTAATGAGTATAACAAGCCACCTTGGCGTTTGAAATCTTGCTTGGAGATTTCCAACCTAACCATAAATTCATTTAAAGCCACATTCCCTGTTAAAAAATCCGGTGCTGCCCTACGAGTCATTAAGATAAAAAGAAACTGCAGCGTTTCCAACAAGCAATGATCAACACTGCAAATGAGAGTAAGAGGTAAAAGGAGTATTTGTGTTTAATACGAATCATTTTAAAATACTTAAAGACCAGAAAGGAAAGTGTTAAATTTATGATGGTGTGCCACTGCTTATTCTACTACAGTATGATCCCAAGACCCAATGTGAAATTACAGTAAGAGGTATATGTTATCTTCAGCAAATTTTCTACAAAAAAATGAACAAACAATGAAATTTCAAGTGATTTCACTAAATTCACTTTTAACTTCCTTTCTTAGCTTCTTAGTGATAGGCTCTTCCAACATTTCATGCATCCGTACAGTGGATGATGAGGTCTGGGCATTCTGCAATATTTCGCTGCTTGAACAAAAAAACACAATTTTTTAAATGGTAGGGTAAAACAGAAATTTTTACATAATTTATAATCGAAAATTTCCGGAACGAACCAGATGAAAAGGGTGCACAAGGTAGTACGACTTAGTTCAAATGTACTCAATAATCAATAAGAAATATAAGGATCAACTACAGCTTTTAAATGAGCGCACATTCTGCCATTCTGGATAAGAAACGTAGCCCGAACATATAAATATCTACCTGCTCTTTTTGCATTAGTCCTGCATGACGATTTTCCGAATATCTATTCACATATAACCACACTTGACTTTTCATACATGGAAGATACTCTTTTACTGCTCTACTATATATTTGATAAACAGAACGTCCCGCCCTTGCAACTTCATCACCTGGCTGAAAGTATGAATAGTTGGAAAGAGATAAACCTTACATAATTTTATAACAACCGAAATTATAATGCATCTTCCGATATGCTTTAGCAGGGTAATTTACGAACTCAATATTTCGGATTTTCAAGTTTAGATATATATCACGTGAAACAAAATGAGGCTTAAAATGATTTTTAAGAGTTAGAACTATTTAAGAGTTATCCTTTTTCTTCATACTACGAAAATCAAATAATTCAATGTAGGAGTCTTTAGAAAGCAAATTCTTCGCTTAACATAACGTATTATTCATCAGAAATTTGATAAACAAATTGAAGCGGAAAGAACCTTTCAAACTTTGGATACAGAAATATTCACTGAACCTATACCGCGGCAATGACATGCGAGCTTCCCAAAACACAGCAGTGAGTCTAGGTAGTTCATATGATTAAAGTACTAGAAAAACGTTTACTGCATTGAAGGTCGAGCAGTTTTCGAAAACTAAGTTCATGCACTGGATAAACTGAGCAACGTTCGTGAATGCATCCTTTGATTTTTCTTTCAAGCGTCGTGCAATAGTTGAAAAATCCATAGGTTGCTTGATGATCATATGATAACTAACGACAGTTCGTGGTACAGGTTGACTAAATGGTTCCACATCCAAATGTTTTTCATAGCAACTTAGTAAAACCTTTGAGCAGAGCTAAAATTGATATTTATCACCATCTCAAATTCCTGATTCCCAGAAAATAAAATTCTGTCACCGGTTTATCATTAGCATGATTTATAGCATCATTTATTGTTAACCAATTTTAAACACTTACCAATCTCTCGCGCTGTCCAATTGTACCCGCATTTTCGTGCAATGCTTCTGCTTCAGTACATAATGAACATGCCCATTCATCCCTAGAACTACTATTTCAACTTATTTAGGCGATTAAACTTAAATCAACCATGATTAGGAATAGTCAGAATCGAAGCACAGCATCTGACCTAGTAACTGTGCCAAATATCTACTTAATACACATGAACTTAATACACATGAATTCTGAAACGTAAAATCAGACATCAAGCTATCCATCAAATCATCACTGAATAGCCTCATAAAAACATACGGCAAATTCTCCATCTGCTCTTTTATGGTTGGGATATGACAAATATTATGAAAAACTCGTGGACAACGCGCACAACAACCAAGAGAGCCAGTTTTTTCATCACAGCCTTGCTGGCATACATAGCAATAGTCATCCCATCTTGATTCATCATTATCTGCTGAAGCTCCTGCTAAAATGAGATCTTTTCTTCAGCTACTTATGAACAATTTATTTTAAGCGTAAATCAATACACAGTAAGAACCGATCGGTCAGTTAAGACGTCTACAGCCAAGACTTTAACAAATTTAAAGTCCCTAAAGTCACTATTCCCCACGACTCTGACAAGAAAAATACTGGTGACGGCATGTTTTGAAAAGATAGCAGTCGCTTGTCAGACGGTAGATTTTTCCAGGGAACCTGGTGTTACAGGTAGAGTTAAGAATAGGGAAGAATAAGACAGTTAAAAATAAAAAATGTACAAAAGAGAAATAAAAAAAATACCGAATTGAGTGGCAGAAACTACACACAAACCTTGGAACTGCTGCTCACTTCCAGTTCTCAGTTGTTCTGGATCCGACAGTTTGCTTTGATCGAACTGGGTTTTGAACATATTTGACACCTTTGCGATTTCATCATTGTTACTTTTTTTGATGCCAACTGTTATTTTCAGTGGAGCTGGTTCGGGGTCCTTTGGTGGTGGCGAGCTAACACTGCAATTACAAAGAAAATCTCACAAATGTTCACTAATGCTTCCCGGAAATGATACGGCTGTACGTCACATGCCAAACATCACTAGAAAAACCCATCAATAGCTTACCATGTACTCGCTGACGGTCCAGAATTGATAAGCGCATACTTTTGCTGCGTCGAAGATGTTACACCACGATTAGAAACCGGTGAATTAAAGCATACATCAAATCCATCATGTGCTGCAGATGCATCAGCATTTTGAGTGTATACACTAGAGTTGTTTGAACTGCTTGCAGGTTGGGTATCCGCCGTGGCTGCACTAGATGATGATACGGTCTGTACAGCAGAAGAAAAAGTGGAAAGCGAATTCGAGCTCGAAATCGGTAAAGGGTTAACCATACTAAGTCGACTAGTCTGCATTCTATAAAAAATAAAATATTAGCTACATCAGTGATATGTAAGAACCGTAATTAGCCACATCAGTGACAGGTAAAAATGTCATAACCTGTGGTTTAAAGATCAGGAACGAATGTAAGTGTTCAGGGATTTGGAGCCCTCATAATTCTTGTCCTGAGAAAAACGTGCTGTCAGTTAAATCAGAAGAACCAACAACTTAAGACGTAATTCCTTGAGGGTTGAAGTGAAACTACAAAGACAAAGTTCAAGTTTCCTATAATCTAAACTAAGAAAAAAAAACTGATTTTCATATTACAGCAGATGAACAATACAATGATTCGCCGGATCGCTTAAGAGGAGAGCTTGCATGAGACCCTGGAGCGAGAGGAGCCCCAGATAAGCTGCTTCCTGAATGTGAACTTGTTAACTGCATATTGGAGACTCGGTGAATATCTGCAATGTAATTAAGTGTCCAAATGAAACAATTTCATAAAATGTACGCAGCACATGCAAGATATCTGTTCAACAAAACCACCGCGTTTTCATGATTGAAACCGGCTTTATACAACGAACGACCAGGATGTTTGAAGGTTTTCTCAAAAAGCAACTGTTCTACCGGTAGATACATATGTCACAAAAAACGGGAATGATGAACCACAAAGCTTTAAGCACGTGGAAGTGTTCTGTTGAACTGTGAGAGGCATTCCTAAAACTTTGTCAAGTTCTATCCTTCAAACTGTTTTAAAGTAATATTGTCATCTATAAAGATGCTTATATTTTTATGAAAACTTACCGTTATATGCTCCGACTAAATTTGATGTTGGCGGTTGTTGAGTTGGCATGGGATTTGGCAAAAACATTCGCTGAGTATATGGAAGGATTTGCCCAGCAGGAAGGGTATATGGAGGAACATATGGTCGTTCGGTCGTAGTCAATCCAGCTATAAATCAAATTTGGATTGCAATGAATCCATAAAGTATTAAAGTATATAATAAATAGCTCGCACACTCACTCAGTGATAAAATCCCAATTCGGAACTACGGAATCTTACGAGAGAGAACCTTAATCCAAGAAAATGCTATTCAAATTCTGATCTTTCCTGAAAGTTAGAACTTGTTTTTCCGATCACCCCTTATTCATCAAATTCTTTCAAAACTGTATGAAAGCAGCTATCCTGCAACTATCAAATATAGCACCATCTCTCCGAAATAGTTACTCCTACATCTCCCAAGCAAGTGTCATCATTCTGCATGCTGCGATTAAAACGGGTGAAAGGTAAGGGAATTTAACTCACAAACATATGGATATGAATATCGTGGGCTTGGTAGCTGAATAGACCCTGGACGTTGAGAGTTTTCAGTCAGCAGAGAACCAAAAAACTGAGACTGCGGGAACCCTTGCCTTCGAGCATTTTGCATTTGTCTTGCTGCCAACTATAAGTAAAAGGTGAAGTTCAGATGTACCAACAACTAGTAATTTGTTGCTGCAAACTCACGATATGCATAAAATGCAATGTCCCAAAAAATGTAGGCTAAACAATAATAAGATTTAAAATTTTTTAGAACCTTATATTTCTTGATACTAAAAATCCCTTCTGTATGAAGAACAAAACCCAACCTCCTGGACATGAAACTGTTGCTGTTGCAAAAGCCGGGAATGCTCCTGTGATACTGGCAGTCGCAAAGTAACAGGATTTGAGGTACTCGGCATAACTGATCTATTCGGGTATGAGCGTTGTGCATAAATACTTGTCGATGAACAAGATCCTCTCGATCTATTCGTTGCGGTGTCGAACAATGGAACATCTATGGGATTTGAAGAGAGAGGTGTTGGGGTAACTTCTACCTAAAGAATTCCTCAACATGATGAAAAATACAGCTAAGCAATTATAGGAAATTCTGTTCAAACGTTATGCTGGTGACATGAGAGATTTACATATTACACTGACGAAATATTCAAGGAAACAACTTCCTGGATCATTCTATCCAAAAGTTCTTTTTACAGAACGTTAAACACAACTACTGACAGTTTTTAGTGTTCCTAAATCATCGACTTCGGCAAAAATCCGCCCCCACTGACTGATATTTGCTAGAACTTGTTCTATATCGGGTTTGAACTGAACCGTCGCTGGACGCTGCAGGCCATTCAAACTTCTCTGGAAACAATTTTTAAACCGTTAGCAATTTACATAAAGTTCTTCTGAAAAATATAAAGAATACTGAAAAACATCCCAAACTTAACAAACCTCACTACTAACTTTCTTTGCTTTAATAACTATGATACAGTTCTCCAAAAACTGCCGCATAACCACAAGCGTTGTGAGATCGTCGAAATGTTTGATGTGTGAAGCGTATAAGTTAATCTACAACCAACTCAGACTTTTAAAAACTGTTGATACAAAATATATGATTTTCCAAGCCTGCTGCAAACTCAGGACCTACTGAGAACAAAATGAAGAAATGAGGTTTACGATGATTTTGCAACTAAAAAAACCACTTATTCCCAGTGCAACGCAATAATTTTGTAACTAGAAACTAGCAATTTGTAACCAGCAATTTCAGCACAGTCCATTAAAATAAATCCACTTACTCTACTGAATCGTCGTTTTTGCCAAAGTAGCTCATTACGAAGTTTGTCATACTCCTGCCCTTTATAAAACTGAACGGCATCCAGTGCCCGCAACAGGTCATTTCCCCTCCTCATCACCTGCAAACAACAAATTTTACAACAGCACAGCAGTTAAAAAAAAAAAGCTACTGCAATGAACCTGCCAGTACTTTGTCAGAAGTATTATTCATTTTCAAACTTCATCCAAATGTTCCGTCATTAGTAATATGGCCAACTCAACAACATTCGGAACTGATTTTACGCCATGCTTAATGAGAAAAATTACCGCTTGACAAATATGCACAACTTGATTCCCAACTTCCTTCTTTAAATTAGCAACACGTTCACTCAAAGCATTCTTACGCACTTGTATCATTGATAAACTGAAAAGCCCTTTTATAATTTGGTTGCATTAATAAAATATTGGTTGCTAAACCGCTCAGTATATGTCTCCCGGTCAAATCAGATCTTGGTGTAACATTTACAGCCTGAGAACGAGATATTAAAATAAAAGATGACGGCTGTCAAAAAATTATAAAAGCCGATAAGTCGACGATTTTCAGAAAGTCTCTTAACTGTAGTATTTAAAAAGCAATATCTACACCTGCAATCGATGTGTGTTGTCTCTCGTGCTGTTGAAGACATAATTTTACTCTCATCGACATGAGCATTTGGTAAATGAGATAAGGGTGTTACCATATGTGAAGGACCCTCATGAAGTCTACTGGTGACACACGTCATGCACACATACTGTAAAATCCAGTTTACTTATCACAAGAACTGAGTGAAGATACTAACAAACAGAACATATGGGAACTTATAAGTAGTAAAGTAATTCTTTATTTCTCGAAAAAGAATTTTAATGCCACATATAATTATGGCAAACTACCAAACGAAAAAGTTCTTACCGACCCACACTGACATAACGATATAATTTTCATATTGCTATGGAGACGACAACGGACACACTTCGGAATCACAGGACATAACTGAAAATGATAAACATGAAGCCTGCAAAAAAAATTTCTGAAATATATCCTTTTCAAAAATAGCTAGAACTAGTCTTCCTGCAAAACTTTTAAAACAGGCGCAACAAGTAAATGTGAGTCTTGAGATAACAGCAACAACTATTTATAATTGTCATTTTTAACAACACAATGAATTTGAAAGAAATATTAACTAACAGTTTGCAAAAAATGAGAAGATGTTGCGGTGACGCGTTGATGTGCTAAACTGCAATCAGCACATAAAGCTTCATTGCAAACAATACATTTAGTTGTAGCCTGATGCTTATCTGGACAGACTGCAGATTCACATCTTCTGAAATAGAAAATGAAATGTTCCGGTACAATTAATCACAGCTAGAATGACGAAAACGACATTTCCTGCATCATTTTTAAAGTAAGGCTTCATCAAGAACGGCAGAAAAGTTGTTCGTGAACTCCAGTTATTAAGCACGATTTTAGGGACAATACATAAAAGCTCATTTCTACATTTACATAATAACATAATAAAATCAGTACACTCAACAAACATACTGCCTAGTTCAAAAATGGAGGTAACTAACCTTATAGTACATTCGCCTGTATTTGGAAGATTAAGTACATGAGATCGAAGACATTCCGTGTGACAAATCTCGCAAACCAACGTCTGGTGATTCAGTGATGCTGTAATCAAATCAAATTTCAATTTCTGACCTTCCCTGTTTTCTGAAAAACTGCACAGAACTGTACCCTGTTAATAAGACCATACCAGACCTTGTTCACATTTAGTTTTACAGGACGGACAAAAAGCATGAAGACACGGGAGCAGCGCTGTTATGGGGGTTGAATCAGCAGGTGGCGAGAAACCGCAGAGTTTGGCGCGACACAAATCACACCGATTAAAGTCTTCTCCCATCTGCAAAGCAGTTGATCCAATATATTCATATAATTATACCAAATTAACCCGTCAGTAAATTGGATTGAAAAACAGTAAAAAGCATATTTATATATGGAGCTGATGCTAAATGATCTTAGTAAACCATTTTGCAGTGAAAAAATTCGGTAATCGTAGAACCAATCTAAAAGTTGTGCACAGCCAGAGTACTAGGGTATGGGCATGATGAAGTACACTGGCTGGGTACAATAAAGCTATCACCACGTAAAACCAAGAGGAGATCGTTATAAGGACTGCTTTATAGGCATTAGTGGACGAAATTGCAGCATGTAACAACTGGATGGATATATAAAAACGTCAACACTCATCACACCAACCTGACCCGGATGTGACTTTAATGTCCAACCATAAACCATATGTTGTGTATGTGCTTTCATGTAACCCGTGTGTTAGGGGAAAATACACATGTGTTGATGGACGACGCATACAGATTGCTGCTAATCAACATCCCTCAAACAAACATCACGTAAGGGATCACACGATGATCATTGACTGTGTTGCATGCGTATCTCCTCTCTCTCCTCTACAAATGGGTGTTGTGTGCCTTTCTCCTCGAAAAGATGGCTAACCACCATGGTTCATTCGGTTTGCGAGCTAGCTCAAACCGGATCGCTCCGGTTCACCATGCAGGATTGTTTGTTTTCTTGTCTGTCTGTTATGAGGGTGAGGATAGACAGTGTTGTATGGGGAAGCCTCTGAAACGAATCGATAATGGAAGGAATGCGAATATCAGAGGACCATAGAAGAGATAATGGTTACGAGATGTTTGTCGCATGACGATTCTCGCGATGAGATGTCGCATGACGATTCTTTAGACGAATTGTGGAAGTAAAGGATGAGGGTCGACGTGTACAACGAAAATAGCTATGTAGAAAACTGAAAGAAGTAGTAACTGAAACGGTTAAGTAAGTTATCTGCGATCCTGTGGAATAATTAGGTGGGAGAAGGGAGAGGGGAGAGGAAGGATGAGACTTCTTAATATTGTTGATGCACTTCCTGACATAGTCTCATTGTCTTATGACCACTTCCTCCATCTGGCAACAAAGCTGTTGCGTCAGTAAAATTAGCGTGCAAATTTCGCTCAGTAACTATTGCCATGTTGGGGTCGTCGCTGCTATTCTACATTACCACTTTTTTGAGGAAAATTACAACTATAGCATATCGCATTAAAGGAGAATATCACGTATCGGTTGGAAAAAAATGCTTTGATAGCTAGAGATAACTTGATTAAGTGATTCGGGAAGTATTGGCATGTGTGACCGACAAATAGCATTTTACTCGGATCTGAGTCAAGGCAAGATGAAGGAGACAAGTGCTGCACTTACATCGTCCTTTGTTTAAGGCCAATCGTTGGGATAAAGAGGTATGAATACCAGGTATGATAGGCACACTTTGTTCATATTATCACTGCCGAGAAAATGGAGGGATTAGTTCCGGGATTAGCAGCAGATCTATCTAGAAGTTATTTAAAACAACGAAATAATTCAACAACGTAAAGTTTTTTGTTTTCTTCATTCTCAAAAATTGTGACACTAATCCTCTCTTAACTTCTAAGTAAAATATAATTACACATTTTTACAAAGCAAGCACAGAGCGCTAAATTCAGACGATGAAACCTGAGGATTAGTGTCACACTCGATATCACCTTCCGAAATAGTTCACCCCTTCGTATTCTAAGTTAATGTGTTCTAGCAAGGAAATCCTGCAGTAATATCTGTTCCCTACTGCTCTATTTTTGCAGTCACTCACTCAGTATCATCGAAAAATATCTTGAACATAAGTTATACTTTTAGCTCCAGTCCTCGCTCTTTTGAAATCAGTTGCTTTTCTGTTTTTTCTGCGAGTCCTTTTCTCTTGAGACTGAATTAAATTAGAACGCAGAGATGTGATAGCGGGTTTATTGAATTTTCTTCCTTTTTTTATCTGCCCTGAATTAAAAACATAGATGCACGTCTATGTTAAACCTCGAAAGTTCATTTCGATGTTTACATGGATTTTGAAGTGTTCGTTTCATTTGTTAATGTTACTTTCAATTTCAGTAAAACTTGGGCTCAAAAATGGTTTCGATCACAAGCTTCATCATCCATCATTCTATTCTGCTGTAGATGAAAGCGGTCGCTTACTAATAAGTCTTCCTTGAATACTTTTCAATCATTCCCGCATTTTTTCTTAAAAAACATCTAGTTGCTTATGCATTTCCAAAACTTCCCTTACAAAATCCAGGGATTAGATTTACATAACTGACTTTTGTTTGCATTGTTCCATTTTTTTGGCCGGTTATTTGCAAAAAATGGAGTTTTTCGTTTCATATGAAAATCTAGAGATGAGAAATTGAGGAATGACTGTACTATAACCATTCCAGGTGAAATTTTAGAGGAAATCCAACAAAACCAGTGTTGTTGAGGTTCGTGCTTCTGATTTTCAATAGTAATTTAGCTTGGAAAATCACAACACAATGAACATTACGTTGTAAATTTCAACTAATAGATAATTTATTGAACCAATCAAGGTCTTCATCAGAAACCCTATCCTGATCAAACATTATAAATCCCATAGCACTACAACCACCATAATATTCTCGATGTCACTCACCTAGATATCATTTTTCCTAGTGTCATTCACAATGAAAGATCTAATCTTGGACGCAAACCAATTTGTAGAAAGTACTACTTCAAAACTCGGAGGCACGTAAGGTTAGAGGACGTGGTACAACCATTTGTTGTTATGAACTTTTATATCCTTGGTACTCGTCTCCGAAAGACATATTCGAATTCTGCTGCCTTTGGCAACTATTGAACCGATTTCGCAGGAAATTTAGACCACTGTGTTGCTGCTGTATACGCAACTCACTGTATCAGTGAGGAGAAATCACCATGGCAACAAAAGCATTTACCAGGATCTTTTATTGCCCAAAAATTCGTATCGTAAGAAATAAGATCAGAAAACAAATACACTTCAATTTGAAGTTCTGCAATGGCATGTCGAGCACTTGTTGAATAAATTGGGATCTTTATGGTAAATTCGAAATGTACGATTAAAAAACGGAATAAAGACAAACATTCCATCTAGCAGTGACACATTACAGGAAGTAAAGTTATCATTTCAAATGAAAACTACATCTGCTTTAATGCCTTGATATTTTGTCACCTTCCTGCAAAGAATTACACTGGTCAATGTGAATGTAAGCCAGATCCAATAATAGTAACTGGAGATGCGAAAAAATGATGGCAATAAATGAGATTAATTTCTCGAAAATACTGATAGCGCTAATCCTTGTAAAGTTCAGTACCAGTGGCATAAGTACTACAATAAATCCCGACAAAACAAAATTGATCGTAAATACAAGCCGGCATACATCCAGGCACATGCAGATGTATATAAGAACACATATATTAACATACATATATACATGCACATATACATACATGCATACATACATACATACATACATACATACATATATACATACATACATACATACATAGGATGACACAGGACTATTCCATGAAGAATCTGTGGACAAAACGAATTACGGAGGAAGTGTTAGCGCTGCTGCCTTAAAGCTTACCACGAATAATTTTCGGGAAAAAGTGAAAAATTGACGTGAGAAGGAAAATCCAACGCCAAAGCAATCAAAATGGGAAAAATAAATAAAAAAATAAATAAGAGAAAAATGAAGGAAAAATGTGAATGTAACAGGAGTATTAATCTGTGCTTCTAAATAAACCTGAATACTTGTAAGTCCAAATGAAACAGTGTGTAAAAACAATAGGTAGCAATCTGTGGAGAAAATTTATGGTACTAAAAAAGAAGGGTGAGACTGCCAGGAAATTGTGGAAGGAAATAATAGAAAAGCTTGACCGATTATTGGCTAAGACAAAAAGAAACAAAAAACCGAGGTGGGAATCAAAACATGCAATAAAACTACATGACAAGTAATTACCAGCATTTCGAGTAATAACGAATTACATGCTTTTTAATGAGAACACATATTTAACCTAATCCAGTAACTACAAAATGATTGAAGGAAATAATACAAATAGACTAATGTTACGGAAGTATTGCCAGTGAAGTTACGGATCTGTTTTGCTCTTGTACCTTGCATTACACATTCGAAAACTTCTGGTCATCCATTAATAGATAACGGTATCATTTTCACTTCTTCAAAAAGTTAAATGCATAGCTTAGTGATCTAAGCCATTTTACAATGTTCAAAAGACTTTGGAAAAAGTCCCACCAATTTCGATGGATGTCGGCTGTGCATTTCCATTTAGAATGGAGGACAAGAAAGGAACGCATTTCCCCCAACGCTTTGGAAAAGATACAACTCCCAGTTCCTTGTCATAACTAAACAGCAAAATGAATAAATATAATATAAAATAACTAAAATTAGTTACTTCAACACTTCACAAACAATGCAACGGATTAGTAACATTAAACATTTAGCACAGAGAATAAAAAATGAACTACGGAGGGCTATGAATTAATACCACATTTGTTCTTTCACGTCAGCATCAATCGTAACAGAAGCACCTTCACAGCTTGTCTGCAGCGGTGCAGTCACCTGAGATGTGAACCATCTCTGACCGGTCTGGTAACGACGTCGTGACGGACGTTCACCAAATAAACGCTCTGGATCGTCAACCGCCTGAACTGAACGAGCCTGGGCACGTATCTCGCTATAGAGATCCTTTGGAGGGCGCTGAGGCAAAATCTAGAAAAACAGATCATAAAACACCATTCCACAAAAAATAGTGAATATCTTCATTGTCCATCGTGTTGACCTTAATAATCTTACCATACAGTTTCATTTAGAAATAACAGAGTATCTATTACAGAATGATTTCCAAAAGAAAATTTCCAAAAGTTGGTCCTCAAATCTGTCTATTTGGTAAGGGCGTGTTTTAATCAGCCAGTAAATACTAGGACTTGAAAAGATTCAGTTGACACCATTTGTGTAAACCCTACAAATTCTTTGTGCAAGAACGCTCCAACAAAAACAGAATCATCATGAATAATTTTTGACCTAGTATCTGTAGAAGGCAATTGTATGTAAGTGGAGAAAACTTACAGTTTTGTCAATCAGTTCACGATTCTCACCGAAATCAAGAATCTCTCTGTCTTCAATAGTCTCAGTGGCATCCCGTGGCGGCCAAAAACGACCTGAAGGAATCGTTATTGGAAGCGAGCAGCCGTATGATAAAGATCCCGTTTTTCTGATCGGTTCCGATTCTCTGTCTTCAATCTCTACTGAACTTGTATGCAAATCTACAAATCAGGAAAGAGCTGCGGTTAAATTCTCATGAAAATTTGTAGAAATTGACTGGGCATAACAAAAATATCATTTTTTTTAATCTGAAGTTGAAACGTAAATCCTTCAGATTTTGCTCAAGACCTGCTCGGATTCCAAATGACACTGAATCTGAAGACTTAAAACAACCGGAAATTAGGAAAAATAGTAAATTAACAAATACGGAAACATGAATAGAACCGAATGTCGGTAGTAAAATCTCAGGATAATTACATAAGGAAAGATGATAATTTCGAACAGCCAATACTTCCGGAGTAAAAAGGCATCAGATTGGAGAGATTAAAAAATAAAAACTTTCCAGAAATTGCTACACAGATTCTGTTATGTCATAGTTTCGTAGTTTTTATCATATACGACCGTAGTACAATGAAGCTAGAGAAAATAGCAAAAACTGAAAAAAAGAGTTGGACCAAAGCATTACCTTTCTCCTCAACCCATGAATTTTCAGGCTGTCTTGTTCTAGCAATCATATTAGCACCGTCTCCACTAAGAGTCAAATGCGCTTGAGACATATCAAAATTACCAGAATCTGTAAATTGAAAGTGCTCAGAAATAGATGTTATATTGCACACATGAAAATCCCCGCAACTGCCACGTATCATTGAAAAACCTTAACTTTATAAGGTTGATCTTTATAATGATTGCCCTTTTCGAGTATCCTCCTTATCGCTGATGACAAAAAATTTTGGCAAGTAAGATAGCGCAGTAAAATGTGAAGCAAAGCTTAAAATTTAAAAGGTATGTCATTTCTTCAAATAAAAATCAGTACAGCTGAAAGCAAATCCCCAAGCTAAGTAGAGAATGCTTACTCTGAAATTTATTTAAGGTAAATTAAAACATGATAAACTTATATTTAGTATTCAGATCACAGAACAAACATAGTTTATTTTTCCAAAGATCTTCCTGTAAATTTAATTTAAAGTACGCTAAAATAAATCAAAAAAACAATGTGAAATGCATAACAAATCGGAAGTTGGAAATGACTGCTTGCATGCAATTAGTTCTGACAACATGAATTTTTACATTTTCGAATTTGAAAAAATATGTAAATAAATGAAGAACAAACAAACCGTCGGACTGAATATCGTAAAACAGATCGAACATTGCAGATCCCTCACTTAAATTACCCGTTTCTTTTTCCGGCACCATATCTTCATCGAAAGAGAACAAGCCTTCGCCAACCACTACAAAATAATGCAAATTTCACATCTGATACATCCACTAAACTGATAAATAACATTATTCTTAATAGGATGGTCCAGTTATGCACCAACGTCCTATCATTATGGAAAACTTTTTAGTGGCAAGAAACTCGCGAAACATAACTGTAAACTGCCAAGGACAAGTTGAAAAGACAAGGGTGAAATGAGCAATTTTATATTACATATAACTCTTATGTAAAAATTTGGATAGGATTGCGGTGAAGAAAGAAAAAAAATCAAAAAACCAAGAATTATACTCTCTTCCCGTTCCTCGTCATATCTGTCCATGTCTTTTCCGTTAACCTTTATGATGAGATCTGATGAGCCAGGAGACCGTATGTTGCGCACGAATCCGCTGTCTGCTTCTATTACCTGAAGTTTGGGATAAATATAAAGAATCCAGTGGACACAAAATTCAAAAAAAGACCGACAGAAAGATCAATAAAAAGAAAGAAAGGATAATAACAGTGGAAGGAATGAACCACTGCTCAACACTATGCGAATCAGAGGAATAAACCGGAATCACTCTAAGCAATTCTTTGATAAACAAAATTTGCATGGAAAAATGAGTTTATCAATGATGCACCTGGACAAATCAGTAACTGACATGAAGGACTGTGTCAATACTACCTTCCACTGCAGTTTCTTCTGCAAGTGGAAAATTCGAATGAATAGAAGAAACAGTGAAACACAAACCACGTCGGAAGTGGCCATTTCTAGGCAGTTCTTAGCAAACGGCTTCAACTTTACGGCCTCCTGGCAATGGGAACTTGAAGATACTACCAACGTTGTGCCTGCGTTCCAAATTCCCGTCTGCAGAAAATTTACATTTTCATCTCTCTTTTATTCGTTACTAAGTCGATCAACGTATTTTATTGACGTTTGAAAGTATCAAACAACAACAATGTGGTCATTTCTGCCAAATTCCTTGTCTTATCAGTTTTCACAAAATGCTTTTTGGTAAAACGCAAAACTCTGCATTTTAAAAAATAATTCGATGAACGCTACTTGTAGGGATTTTGTTATCTTACTTCACACTTATTTTTCGCCATATCTTTTACAAAATCACATTTTTCGAAATCTTTAATGAAATTCCCTGCAAGTGATGCAATAAACAGAACAGATGGGCAGTCCTAGTACACCACTGGATAAGAGGGAGGTTATGTTCCTCGAAACTAGGGGTAAGCTGAGAATCACACATCTCTGTCCACTCAACTGAAGTCAATGGTGCAAACTACTAACAGCCGACCAGTGAGCAAATAAACAAAGTGGTTTGATGGGTGAAATTCATAAAAAGTTCACGTGTAATTATGTCCAACAAGGAAGAATGCGCTGTGCCAAATGAACAAACGACGGTCATACCGTGCTATATCATTTTAAGTCCATGTGTGAAACAAAATCAAGACGAACAATTTTCGTTGAAACCTTGAATGACACTAAAACATTCCCAGTACTAGTGAAGAATCTTAAGTCATATGATCTCTTTCTCATAAAACTTCTTATAAAGTCTAATTAAATTGCCTGTGCAAAGCTAGATATCTTTACAACCACCTATACTTGCACTTCTCTTAAATTTGTACTTTGTTTCACTGATCTTAAATTTAATTGGTAGTATCGCCAGTGTTTGCTAACAAACGATATCGAAATACAGTGAACACTTTCAGTTGTTTACTGCATTGAAATCGTTTGTAACGGCATCGCCTATAAAAATGGCTGAAAAACGAGAATCTTACCAGATACTTTCAAAAACAAAACTGTCAAGCAGAATGCTTACTCGCCCATTTTGATGGAGTCGCTCGCTCAGTCCCTCTAGCAAATAATTACAGTAGTGATTGAAATTCCCAACTATTCCACAAAAACTGTATTTTTTATATATCATAAAGCAGACCCTAAAAGAGAAACACGTATTAGGACAGAAAATCAAGAACTAATTTTCTTTTTTTTCATAAATTCTTTAGCCAGTTTAATAAAAGACTTTCGATTGTTTTCAAAACTATTAAATTCAAATGGAGCTGAAAATAAATGAAGTAGAAGGGGTCTCGACAGATTAAGCTTTCGTTTTTAGCAGTTTAACGCAAATATAATACCACTGCTCATGAACAGTGATTAACACCTACCCCTAAACAGACTATGTTGATCTACTTGACATTTCTTAGTTATTCAAACGCTTTGTATACATGCGTTGGGTAAGAATCTTTGAGAAAAACATATCTTATTGATTCCTGAGTATCCGAAAAATTAGTGGTTCATCGGAATTAGTTTCGCAAATAAACACTTAGCTTAGGATTTCTCAAACCTCTCATTTCAAGAAGATGTGCAGCAGATCTCGCAGTTTATCTTATCTTCACTCAAGGAAGTTTGCAATCTTAATTTTCAACATCACTTCGTTTTTCTTCGCATGGAGATGAAGAAAAAAAAATAGGAAATCCAAACTGACGACTTTTCCAAAATATTATATTACGTACGTTTTTAGTTTCGCCGTTACTCTCATTATTGGATATATGCCAGCTTTTGTTTTGTAACTGCTTAATATTTGTGTGCATACCGGGAACAGGTATGTGGAAGATTTCAGGCACCACAGCAATCGGGAAGTGCCGCATTCACGATTTCACTTTTTTTATTTTTTTTTTTCGAGAACAAAATGTGTTGTACTGTTTCAGTTCATTCACTTCCAATTTGTAATTCTTCAGCAAACTGTGATATCGTACTCGAGTT